CTTCATTGCACAACTGTTACATGATACGACCTGACCAGCTTGACAAAAGTTTATTTAAGCTTTTTATACGAACAATAGATTGAATAACAGATTTTGTAATCAGTAATCATATTGTTCGATCAGTTTATTTTTAAAAACAAGGGGCCATCACGAAACAGAATTAACAATATTCACATAACATAACATTATGTGGTACACCCCCCCCCCCACACAAATGAACTACATAAACATACATTATTTGTAAATTGTTATTACACTTTTTATTTAAAGTGCTGGTACAAGCTGAACAGACCAGACTTATATACAGGCTATACTAACTTGTGAGTTGTTAAGAGGTATCAACACAATCCAGCAATTAAGTTAAAAAAATATATATAAAAAGACAAATAAACAAATAAATATTGAACCAGTCAGGCTGGTGATTTTTCAAAAAACCGAAAATAAAAAAAAGTTGATTGATGATTTACACTTATTTAAGTCACAGGCTGCCATAAATATTACAATAACTTGTAAGAGCTATTCAAAATTGCCCCTTATATTTTGGAATGTGCACTTCAACTCGTTACGCCAAAATGACAGACTATAAAATTTCTGAAATAATGCCGCAAAATCTAGTGTTTGAACGGTATTATTTGTGGGGGTGAATAAAGTGTAATTAAGTGTTTTGACCAAATAAATTTTCTGAAATAATGCCCCATAATCTAGTGTTTGAACGGTATTATCTGTGGGGATGAATACAGTTTAATTTAGTGTTTTGACCAAATAAATTACCTGGAATAATGCCCCATAATCTAGTGTTTGAACGGTATTATCTGTGGGGAAGAATACAGTTTAATTTAGAGTTTTGACCAAATAAATTACCTGGAATAATGCTCCATAATCTAATGTTTAAACGATATTATCTGTGGGGATGAATACGGTTTAATTTAGTGTTTTGACCAAATAAATTACCTGGAATAATGCTCCATAATCTAATATTTAAACGATATTATCTGTGGGGGTGAATAAAGTGTAATTTAGTGTTTTGACAAGATAAATTACCTGGAATAATGCTCCATAATCTAATGTTTGAACGGTATTATCCATGGGGCTGAATACAGTGTAATTTAGTGTTTTGACCAAATAAATTTCTTGGAATAATGCTCCATAATCTAGTGTTTAAAGGGTATTATCTGTGGGGATGAATACAGCGTAATTTACTGTTTTAACCGAAAATTTTTCCTAACACCTGTGCATCTATTTTGGGTTTTGTGCATTTTCTATTTTCTCAATTCTCGTGACATATTCTTACAGTTGTCCACTTTTTTAAGCGAAATATACATATTGTTCTATAATGATTTTGCTACTAGTATGGATATGTAAAGAAATAGAAAACACTGATTGATTTTAATAGAATTGTCAGAAAGAAAGTTTAGGTTTATTGTTTTTTTTCTGTAATAATACACGTTTGCCCATTATACTGTGTTTTCGCCATATTATTCTTATTGTGCTCTACCACAAAAAAGTGAAAATATGACTTGAAATATACAATCTAGTACTATACATTAATTGATTTCTTCATGAGCACAAAACATTCTTGAAAATAGGCGGCTTTTTATCAGTCTTTGCCAAATTCCATTGAGAGCATACTTATAATGTGAAAATATAACCTAACTATTATTGATCGACAAAGGATAATATTAATTAGACTGCCAGTACTAAAAAATATTGACCCTAAAATTGAGATTACAATGCACCCAGCATATTTTGAAATTATCTCTTGCTCATTTTTTATATACATTCATTTTTACTTATACATGTCTAGTCAGAGTTATAGCTAGACAGAAAAGCCTCTGTGTAGAGAAAGAAATAGTTTTCGATCTATAGGGCCAGTAGAGAATGAAATGTTTTTCGACAGAAAACCCTCTGCTATAGGGCCATTAGAGAATGAAATGTTTTTCGACCGAAAACCCTCTGCTATAGGGCCATTAGAGAATGAAATGTTTTTCGACCGAAAACCCTCTGCTATAGGGCCAGTAGAGAATGAAATGTTTTTCGATCGAAAACCCTCTGCTATAGGGCCATGAGAGAATGAAATTTGTTTCGATCGAAAACCCTCTGCTATAGGGCCAGTAGAGAATGAAATGTTTTGATCGAAAACCCTCTGCTACAGGGCCAGTAGAGAATGAAATGTTTTTCGCTCGAAAACCTTCTGCTATAGGGCCAGTAGAGAATGAAATGTTTTTTTATCGAAAACCCTCTGCTATAGGGCCAGTAGAAAATGAAATGTTTTTCGATCGAAATCCCTCTGCTATAGGGCCATTAGAGAATGAAATGTTTTTCAACCAAAAACCCTCTGCTATAGGGCCAGTAGAAAATGAAATGTTTTTCGACCGAAAATCCTCTGCTATAGGGCCATGAGAGCATGAAATGGTTTTCGCTCGAAAACCTTTTGCTATAGGGCCATGAGAGAATGAAATGTTTTTCGACCGAAAACCCTCTGCTATAGGGCCAGTAGAGAACGAAATGGTTTTCGATCGAAACCCCTCTGCTACAGGGCCATGAGAGAAAGAAATGGTTTTCGATCGAAACCCCTCTGCTATAGGGCCGGTAGAGAATGAATTGTTTTTCGACCAAAAAACCCTCTGCTATAGGGCCAGTAGAAAATGAAATGTTTTTCGACCGAAAATCCTCTGCTATAGGGCCATGAGAGCATGAAATGGTTTTCGCTCGAAAACCTTTTGCTATAGGGCCATGAGAGAATGAAATGTTTTTCGACCGAAAACCCTCTGCTATAGGGCTAGTAGAGAACGAAATGGTTTTCGCTCGAAAACCTTTTGCTATAGGGCCATGAGAGAATGAAATGTTTTTCGACCGAAAACCCTCTGCTATAGGGCTAGTAGAGAACGAAATGGTTTTCGATCGAAACCCCTCTGCTACAGGGCCATGAGAGAAAGAAATGGTTTTCGATCGAAACCCCTCTGCTATAGGGCCAGTAGAGAATGAAATGTTTTTCACTCGAAAACTCTCTGCTATAGAGCCATTGAAGAATGAAAAGTTTTTGGTCAAAAACCCACTGGCATTAGACATGGTTTTTAACAAAACACTCCAGGTATGGGGGCGTGAGACTATTATCATTCTTTATGGACTGAATGCAGCTTTTGTGGCCCATGGTTGTGTGGCAGAAGCGCCC